TCGCTAGTAGGGTGGAGGCCATCGCTATTAGGTTGCAGGCCATCGCTGGCAGGTTGGAGGCCATCGCTAGTAGGTTGGAGGCCATCGCTAGTAGGGTTGGAGGCCATCGCTAGTGGGGTGGAGGCCATCGCTACTAGGTTGGAAGCCATCGCTAGTAGGTTGGAAGCCCTCGCTAGTAGGGTGGAGGCCATCGCTAGTAGGTTGGAGGATGTTGGAGGCCGTCGCTAGTAGGGTGGAGGCCATTGCTAGTAGGGTGGAGGCCATCGCTAGTAGGTTGGAGGCCATCGCTATTAGGCTGTAGGCCATCGCTAGTAGGTTGGAGGCCATCGCTAGTAGGGTGGAGGCCATCGCTAGTCGGTTGGAAGCCATCATCGCTAGTAGGTTGGAAGCCATCGCTAGTAGGGTGGAGGGCATTGCTAGTAGGTTCGAGGATGCTGCAGGCCATCGCTAGTAGGGTGGAGGCCATCGCTATAGTAGTATCTAGTAGGGTGGAGGCCATCGCTAGTAGGGTGGAGGGCATTATACTAGTAGGTTGGAGGATGTTGGAGGCCATCGCTAGTAGGGTGGAGGCCATCGAAATTAGGTTGCAGGCCATCGCGAGTAGGTGGCCATCGCTAGTAGGTTGGAGGCTACCATCGCTATTAGGTTGCAGGCCATCGCTGGCAGGTTGGAGGCCAAGGAGGCCATCGCTAGTAGGGTTGGAGGCCATCGCATATTGGGTTGGAGGCCGTCACTAGTAGGGTGGAGGCCATCGCTAGTAGGTTGCAGGCCATCGCTAGTAGGTCGGAGGTCATCGCTATAGTGGGTTGGATGCCACGCTAGCAGCCTATTTGCCATCATCGCTTGATATCGCTAGTAGGGTGGAGGCCATCGCTAGTAGGTTGGAGGCCATCGCTAGTAGGTCGGAGGCCGTCGCTATTGGGTTGGATGCCATCGCCAGCAGCCTATTTGCCATCATCGCTTGATAGTAGGTTGGAGGCCATCGCTAGTAGGTTGGAGGCCATCGCTATTAGGTTGGAGGCCATGGCTAGTAGGGTGGAGTCCATCGCTGGTAGGTTGAAGGCCATCACTTGGAGGCCATCGCTACTAGAGTGGCGCTAGTAGGTTGGAGGCCATCGCTAGTAGGCTCGAGGCCATCGCTTTTGCATCAGTACGCAATTGCACGCTGTTCACAAGGGCTTGACACCAAACAGCTCGCCAGTTTGATGAGGTCCTGATGGGCGCGGAACTTCAGATTGCGGTACGGTGCTGTAAATTTTAAATGAGTCAGAAAGAAAGTGTTCAGCAACCGCCAAAATGCGCGATACTTTAGTAACTTCAGTAGAGAGCGAAAAGCCAGAAAAAGCGATAACCGTATCAGTATCCCCGTAGTTGTTTGATGTATTCAGCAATGTTGACAACGCGCTAAGACCTGCAAATGCGGTAGGCCCCCTCCAAACCTTGCTGAATCACATGTCCTCTACTTGACAGTAGGTTTTGGCAGACGCTCATGTGAGAAGCACCATGTGGCCAAACCATGCCAAACCCTTTTATGTCGGAATTGGATGCATTGCCTAGCATTGCTAAGGCGAGCTATGATCTTTATTACGCAGGCCAACATGAAGAGCACAAAGCACATCAAAGTTTGTCAATGCACGTAAGACTGTAAGACTCATATGACGGCACCAAAGCAGGTCAGCAGGTTGTTTTTGCGTTTGCCATGTTGATTTCATTTATACAGATTGTCATGTAAGCTTTTGAGAGCTGCTTTCATACCAGAATTTGTTGTTCCTGTCCATGGCGCACTGCCAAGTAAGCCCTTTCCAACAGGTCATGCGCAGAACGGGCCTAGACGTACCTCAGGATTGCTGCTTCGATTCATCTTTGAGCAATCTCTTGGCATGTTGGAGTCGTTGCAGGAGCTGATTGAAGCGCTCAAACAGAGACGTGGGAGGGACATGAGTGGAAGCCTTGCATAGCCTTGCGGAAGGGGCTCACTGTGAAACACAGCAGTTCAGAGACTACAGAAGAGTACAGAGCGCTAAGGTTTGGCAGCTGAAGTCCTTCAAGGTTTAACGAACCAGCAGCGCCTGGAACGAAGCATCGTACTAAGTTGTTCGAAGGCGTCGAAGGAGTCCTTTGAAGGAGCATCCAAGTTGTAAGCTGTGCTCCGATGAAACCTATCACGGAGTACATGAGAGCACACTACTCATGGATACTTATGGAATGGATTGTTTTTTGACCCACCCACCCACCCTGTAGCAAACATGCCAAGTTCCTTTCAGACACGATTATTGAAGCACTAAAGCACCTTCCGCGCTCCGGCACTGGCCCAATTCGGCCCACTTATGTTTGTGTATATGTGGTGATATGAATATGTGTCAGGGGTGTGTGTGCGCGCGTGCGCCCTTGTAGTCACAGGGATTCAGTTGAATTGTTTCTTCAGCAGGGGCGTGTGGCACTCTCGTCCTACCACACGCAACGAAGCTGTGGGCGAGAGTGGGAAGGGAAACTTGGCCAGTTTCCTGTACCTGCGGTGATGATTACTCCAATCTACAGGCCCCTGCTTGTAACTAGAACAAGACCCTTCTCCTGGCTTCGGTTTGCAGTAAAGAGCTAATGAACTTACCGCCGTTTTGCAACTTTGAGCTATGAACTTGACTTTGGAGTTCATGAACGTTGAGCTTTACGCTTTACACTTTGAACTTGGAGATGAGTCACAGTCCTGCACGCACGTCGTCAACCTGTCGCGTGATCGTCGATGCTATTGGCTTGGTCTACCTGTACCCTTAGGAAATGGTAACCTAGGCCGGCGTGTGGCACCGCTGTCAAGTCAGTACGCATTTCCATAAGTGTGTTTGGCCTCGTGCCAACCTGGGATGAGCCCGTAGAGTGCCTCCCGTGGACCCGTCGAACGGGGGTTTGTCGTTATCTCCCCTGCCCGGAGATGTAAGTGTCCGGAGCGGACAGCAGATGGCTTACGCCACAAGAAGTGGGATGTTTGTCTCATCTTTGGAATTCCAAGTTGGCTCATGCCTTTACGAGACCGCAGCGGTCAGAGGTGGCCGCCCTCGGGCATGCCGTACGTGGTCGCAGCGACCGAAGTTTGTTCAAGGTTCATTGGAACCTGTCGCGAGCTTAGTCCCCCCTCCTTCCCCTTCCCTCCCCTTTCTTTCCTTGCTTTTTGGGGTTTTCCTGAATGGGAGACTCAGGATCACCCCTTTCTTTCTTTGGTGTGTCCCTGGACGATTCCTTTTCCTTTTCTCTCCTCTCCCTTTCTCTCCCTCTCTCTTTCTTTCTTTCTCTCTTTCCTCTCCACCTTCCTTCCTCCTTGGGTGTCCCTGGATGCTTTTGTCATAGCTGGGAACCCTTCTCCGCTCTTCCTTTGGTGTGTCCTTGGACGCATGCGTCGTAGCTGGGAACACCTTCCTTTCTTCTCTTACCCCTCCCTCCTGTCGGGACCTTAGCTTGGGTTGCTACTAGGGGCTCCTTGCCTTCCTACTATAGGTGCTAGGACTAGAGGTTCCTGGCCTTGCTACTACTTTGTCCGCACTTGCGATACGCCTCCCCTCGGGGAGGCGTGTGTGTGTGTGCCCCTTGTAGTCACAGGGATTCAGTTGAATTGTTTCTTCAGCAGGGGC